ACAAAGTCTTCAACAGACGAATCAAATACCACTTCTTTAGCACAATATGGAGACAAAGAATACGATTCAATGGTTTTCGACTTAAAGTCATAATTGGTTTTGAAATTCTAATCTAATCTTAAATAAAATTTATTTTAGTTTTAATTTAAAAAATAATTTGTATTAAATTATAATATAATTATCGAAACTTGTAATGTATTGTAAAATATATCAATAATAATAATATTAATAATAATTATCTATAAATATGTAATAATTAACTAAATTTCATTCAAACAGTCATTCAAATTGTGAAAAATAATAATAAAATTCAATTTCAATTCATAGAAAAACCAAACTTTTCTCAATTACTCGAAACCACTCTCGCATCCAATCGTTACGTTATTTATGAATGAAATGCACAAAAACTTATTGTTTTCGGCGTTTGTTTTGCAAAAAACGTTTCGTTCAAAAGCTGTTCATTGAATGCTTTGATGATTGAATCGGTCGGCCATTGAAACACTCTCACGAAGAATAGGGCCGAAGACACCGCCTCTGACACGATGTATGACGAAGAGGAGGGGTTGGGAGAGGAGGAGACGATGGAGATCACGTCGGACGTGTGGCAGGAAGCATGTTGGATTGTCATCAGCTCCTACTTCGACGAGAAGGGTCTCGTCCGCCAACAGTTGGACTCTTTCGATGAGTTCATCCAAATGTCTGTTCAGCGCATTGTCGAGGACTCGTCCGCCATTGAACTCCAGGTGAGACCATCGACAAGGAGATAGTCGGCGGCCACCGTCTGGTCCGCCGACCCGTCTCTATGTCTCTATCGCTGTATCGTTTGCGTAACCATTGTTTGCATTGTCTGTCTGTTGTGTCCCATAGGCTGAGGCACAGCACGCGTCGGGAGAGGTGGAGAACCCGCACCGCTATGTCCTGAAGTTTGAACAAATCTATTTGTCTAAACCCACGCATTGGGAGAAAGACGGAGCGCCGACACCAATGATGCCAAACGAGGCCCGACTCCGCAATCTCACGTATTCGGCGCCACTCTATGTCGATATCACCAAAACCATCATCAGAGAGGGCGAAGAGCCCATCGAAACGCAACACCAGAAGACATTTATTGGCAAAATCCCGATTATGTTGCGCTCGACTTACTGTCTGTTGAGTGGACTAACGGATCGGGATTTGACTGAATTGAATGAGTGTCCATTAGATCCGGGCGGCTATTTCATTGTCAACGGCTCCGAGAAGGTGCTGATCGCTCAGGAAAAGATGGCCACCAATACTGTGTACGTCTTCTCGCTGAAGGACTCCAAGTATGTCTACAAAGCCGAGTGCCGGTCCTGTATTGAGCACTCGTCCCGACCGACGAGCACTCTGTGGGTGAATATGCTATCGCGTGGAGCGCAGGGCGGGAAGAAGACGGCCATCGGTCAGCGAATCATTGCTATCATTCCGTACATCAAACAAGAGATCCCAATCATGATTGTGTTCCGAGCGCTGGGATTCGTTGCCGACAGAGATATTCTCGAACACATTATCTACGACTTCGAAGACCCGGAAATGATGGAAATGGTTAAGCCGTCGCTCGACGAGGCGTTTGTGGTTCAGGAGCAGAACGTGGCGCTCAACTTCATCGGCGTTCGCGGCGCCCGACCGGGAGTTA